GAACACCACATTTGACACATCAATACAACCTGTTAGCACAAAAACTAAACTAAATAAATAAAGTGAGAAACAATGAAAATAAATCAAAGTTATACCCGTGCAGCACCTCACATCACTTCTGCCGAAAAATTAAACTAGCATTAGAAGAATACAAAAACTTTAACATAAGGTGAATTCCTTTCACCTAATGCCTCTGTTCACCTAGCAGTAAATAGGTATCCAGGAGTTAAGCAACTGTTGTGGGTTCCATCCTGGATTAGGTCATCAGTAGTTAGCCTAGGGATCCCCCGTGGTAAGCCCAAGTACAGTACAGTGTGCCAACACCATTGAAAACTTGAAAATGTCCCGTGATAAATTACAGGGATTATGGAACACCACAAGGAAAGCTCTCGTCACGTAACTACACTTTGGCAATTACACACAAAAAACTATTTCATGTACATCCTCATTAACTCATTTTGCCACTCATTCAGTTTTCTTTTCACAAAGTTTTACTTTATCTAATCCAAACAAAATAAAGATAACGTTTCATATAAAAAAATATATATATATTTTTTATCAACACACATTAAAATAATGTCTTAGTTATGCACAAAAAAATTAATAGATAAGCCTAGGTTTATAAATGCAAGTCAAGCAATTCTAATGTCAAAATATTATCCAGAACACAACAAGAATGGAAATAACATGTTTTCCATACAAAATACTTACCCACGGATGCAGGCCATCGGCCTGTTTAGGTAGTACTTAAAGTAATGATCTGGACCATCATACATATATTCATGTAAAAGGCTATTAGAAAAGTAGAAATTGGTACTTTTAAATTTGGACAAACAGGAAAAGTTTTGTATTGATGTTGAAAAGAAAACCTAACCTAACTTTCCCAGGCCTAATACCCACAATATAAGGCCTAATAGAGTACATACATACATACATACATACTATATTATAAATATATATATATATATATATATATATATATATATATATATATATATATATATATATATATATATATATATATATATATATATATATATATATATATATATATATATATATATATATATATATATATATATATATTATATACAGGTATATATATGCTATACTAGACCTATGAATACTTAAATTTGGTTTTCAGCTTTATTTTTTTCAGACTTTAAAATGAATAGTACAGTACCAAATTTTACTATCTAATTGTTCATTATGTCTATATATGTACGATGGTCCACATAGCTACAAAAAGTACTACCTAAGCAGGAGGAAGGGTTGAAGAATGATATATCAGTCCATTCTCTCATCTAATACCTCATTTTTTATGAAATCGTTTTGACGTTTTCTATACATCAGCCTCGATAGGTTACGAGGATTGCTGGGGTTTATATATTTCAGGTTAGGCAAAACGGTAAAATTTTTGCAGTGGGAAATCGAGAGAATGGAGTAGATATACAGTACAAAGGTCAACATAAACATACACATGCATACACATACATGTCACAGAAAATTTTACTCCGACAACTTGCATGATTTTGACCGATTCTTGAATATTTTGTATCACTCATTAAAACACCAGTTTTGTGTTACTGATAATGGTCATATGCTGATAATGGTAATATATCATGCTCATATTGATGCCATGTCCTGCTGGGCATGGTGCCAAATCATGAGAGCCTCAACATCATCATCATATGACTAGTAGCACTAAACTAGATATATTAAAATAAATTTGAACTTTTTTAGCTAGTCACTAACAAATGTTTGACTGCTATACATGGATCAATAATGATTAAAAGCTCCAATTTATTTTAACCGTTAGACCGCGCATATTACCGCGCATATTGGGGATATATTAGCAAAAAATATTCAAATTATGTTAAAGTAACTTAAAAATGTTAAACAAATCTCCAACTTATTGGCTTCAGTGTTGTGAAAGTTTCATCAAAATAGTTTCAGAAATTAATTTTAGACAAATTTAAAAAAAATAAGTACATTTTGTTGATAAGGAGAACAGCTCCTAATAACTGGAACTGAAGGATTATGGAGTAATAAAGAGATGCAAGAACCTGTCCTATGCTCAAAGAAGAAGAATAGTAAGAAGTGTCCACAAAGTGGATATGCAGTTGGTGCCTTTGTATCAGTGCTGAGTAATACATAATAACACAAATAATAATAAATATGTTAATATGCTCTATTTTGTTATATATCATATAAATACATTGTCCAATGTTAATATATGTTACTTTCATCAATGTCCCCCCCCCCCAAAATTTTTTTTTTTTGGGGGGGGGGAATTTTTTTCCTCCTTTGTTTGTTATCTGATTTCGTTGTAACCTTTACATCCTGGAGAATGCAGATGCTTTCCAAACTATGTGAAGATAGAATGAAATTAGTCAACAAATAAATCGGCCATAACTTGTAAAACTTGGGACTTTTAATTTTTTGGCTGATTTTTTCTTTGATTTCAATCTCTATTTTCTTTGTCTCTTTAGGTTGTTTTGATGATTAGGGACCATATTAGGGCTTTTTCACTTATATAAAGTATACCCTAAATATATCCCCTAAATCATTATAATTATTATAATTACTGTATCCCGATATTTTGTGTTTTTGCGGGTTATTTTTTCTTCACTTCATTTCAACACCCATTGACCTACAGCTTTCACATATTCGAGTATGAATGCCAAACAATGTTAATTAAAACATACAATTAAATAAACAAATTAAAACTACCTTTATTCATTGTTGATAACTTCAACTTCAATTATCTCTGAAACTAGAGTTTCAACTTTGAGAGGCTTCTAAAATTCTAGTTTTTGACTGATTCTCATTATTTTGACATATTGTGTGCTCAGCTGTCTGTTCTACAATCCCTTCAGAATGGATTTTTCATAAACTTTATACATTTGGAGTTATAATTTTTTTTGGTCTAAATTTGCCGCATATTTCAAATGCACTATTGACGATTTTTTTTACAGTAAACTACTATATACTGAAAACCTATATTCTAATTTGACGAAAATGAATATCATATGCTATTCTGAGAGAATAACATCATTAAATGATCAATTGGTGATAGTTCATATTTTTTATTCTGAATTGAAAATCTGAAATTTTCAATATTCAATTTTAAAATTAATTTTGAATCTCTTTATTTTTCAAGTTACGCTGTGATCATTTAGACAAAGTTGAAGCATTTGCCTAGTTGATTATGCCAAAAAAATTTGTAAGTGTTTGAGCAAGTTATAAAAACTTATGTTAAATGGTTTTAAGTCAAATCATATATGTATGTATTGCACGGTCTAAGGGTTAAAGCAATAGACATCTAGTTCACAGATCTGAAAATAAAGAGTGATGGCATTTTGGTTCATTCTGGACCATTATCTTGGTCTAGGACAATGTGATAATGGTCTAGGGCAGACCAAACCATCGTCACTACCTATATTTTCAGATGTGTGGGTTGGTTGTCTAATTTTCAGACGTGTTATTGTGACTTACTGTCTGCTGAAGGCAATACGTGCAAGGGAATTTCAAATAAATAAAACCAAGGAATAATCTAACTTAATTAAATGCCTTGCAATAATTCTAATAATAAGGTTAAGATAAAATACATAAAAGGCCAATTGTTTGCAAATGATGAACTTAAAACTTGCAGAAGACAAATGCCACCATTTAATAAGCTCACTAGTGGGCAGTCATGGAAATCCTCCTTGTTATATATCATAATGGGCTGGCATATAAAAATGCACAGATTTTACAAGGATATTTTGTGAAAAATCTATTTTAGTACGTTTCAAAATACATTTATTGACAATGTTGTTCGAGTGGTTTTGTAGGAGAAAGTATGATTTTATGCACATCAATACACAACACACACAGTTGTTGGTGAACCAAAAATGTGCATTCTATCTGATATACAGTAACCATATGAGGGAAGCAGTGAAGCTGCCTTTTTGTTTCTCAATTAAAAATTGAATACATGTACATTAGAAAAGCATCCCAATCAATAAATTAAAAAAAAAATTACTTTATTAATCAAAATAATATAAATCTTTATCAATCTAACCAAATTATGTGATAAAATCACTCTTTCTTAGAAAGGAATAAGGAGAAAAGCTTTACAAAATCACACTACAAAGTTGTCTTAGAGTCATGAGGGAAGTAGATATATCTAAGACAATAGAGGATAGTTGGGAAAGAAGCAGAGAGCAGGAGGCCACAAACTAATACCACAAGCTCAAGGAACTTGCCTGTTATGTTAGGAAGTGCTTATTACATCAATAACAAATTTAATAAGTCATTTACTTTAATTGATATACTGACTGTACCTGATGTGCTAACTGATATACTAACTAACTGATGTAGTAACAAACTGTTGTACTAATTATAACTGATCTACTAACTGTAATTGATGCATTAACTAGTCTCAAAACCCACTTTACACATTTGATTTTCAGAAAAGTTTGCATTGGATAATTTTTCAAGTGGTGTATCCTTACCCTAAGTAAGGAAGACCGCAATAGACCTATCAGGCTTTCTGTCCACAAAAATGGGAAACCAAACCACATACAGTACTGTATTTATGCAACTTCTTTAAATGCATTACATCATATCAAATATATATACTGTGTATATATACTGTATTACAAAGTTTTCATCACATGCAATAGCCCTTTTAACAAATTCTCCGAGTTGAAATGTAACTAAGAGTGTACATCATCATCAGTACAATACAGAGTCCGCTAAGCCTACATTCACAACTGGTAAGAGCAACACCGTCACCAGTGATGAACATAGGGTTATTAATCCCGAGTGAAGTTCATTACACCTCCAATCATTACAAACTGATCAGTTCATAGGCTGCACCTACACCAAACTTAGCATAGACCTGGCAAGTACAGTAATAATCTAATCTTAAAACTCTTCCACTTCAGGCAAGTCTGAGTTGGCAGAAACAAAGCACAAAGGCAGAGAAGAGACAGGGACGAAAGACGTGGTACCTTCAAAGATTTTGTCTATACCATTGAATTCATTGAGCTCATCCCCGGCCATTCCAGCAGGAAGATCTTGATCCGTGCACGTACTGTCTCGGAAGGAACTGCAAACAAAATATTAGAAATATATATTAAGATTTTTCAATGTCACATGTATTTAAGCTACATGCATATTTGTTTATTGACATGCGTGAGTACATTGTAAGATTGGGTGAAATTGAAGATTTAAACACAGGTTTTATATTCTAGAAATTAAATGATAAATCCTTAAATACTTGAATAACAATCAAGTCTATACTGTATATTTAAACTTCTGAGCTAAGCCCTTTTGGTTGCACCTCGAGCCAAGATTTAAAATGCTGTAATGAACATGTGGGCCTGCAGGCTGCTGCAAGCAATAGCCTTATAGACCAAGTTATTAAGACAAGTTTCTTATCACAAGACAGAGGATACACCTCCCACCCTCCCGTCCTTTCAGGAGCCAGTAAGGAACAAGAGGACGACAGCAGGAAGAGATCAAAAGACAGCTCCAGGTGGAGGCAGAATAAAATAAGAACTCCCTCCAGAGTGGTACTAGGGGAAAAAAAGCAACATCAGAAAACAAAACCAAAAGAGTCAAAGATTCTAAACAGTGAGAATTCAGACTCTAGCCAATAAGAAATAGAAAGTTCTCAAACTTTTGGCCAACCCATAAGAGAAGAGGCACAGCATAACCAGCAAGTGGAGTGCTGGCCACAACACACACTCTGGGCTACATGGGTTGATCTAACAAAAATGTATTTATGCTATACAAAGCAGGATCACTACAGTCCAGAATCAAGAAGCCAAAAATTGCCTGAAACTGAATAGCGTACTGTCCTAACCTGACCAGTCAGCAACAAACAATGCTCACTCTGCCTGCACATGACACGTCGCCTCACAGATTAATGCCCAAGGTGGCAGCATGGCCAATTGATTGGACCAGCCACACACACACATTGCACACTCATGGGTGGAAAAGACACTGAGCTTAAGAATGGAGTGGCAGACACCGGGGGCATAACTGCTGAAGGGAAAAGCTAAACAAAAATTAAAAAACTACTGGCAATAAAAACAGGAGAAAACTGAGTAGGGAGAACAAAGTGATCCAACAAGTAAACATTCCCAAAGCACAAAGCACATCCCAGGCAGCGATACCTATAATAATGGATACACTACTTCATAAGGATATTATTACCTCGCCCTATTTCTCCCGTTTCTAAGGGGAGCCCCTTGTGGTTCCCCTGAAGCTATCTCGTTGAGATGGCTCCCAACTACTAAATTACATCAGCTGTGGAGTTCTGTTTGGCCTACCGGGGAACAGAGCCAGAACCTGGCCCTCCCCCCCCCCACCCCTCGCAGAGGTGCAGAGAGCAGGTGACAGTTCACCATCCGAACGGGTAAGCATCCAGAAAATCAGCGAACCAATACAGACCACTGCTGGCTTCAAAGAGACTGAAGCCTCAAACCTGCCAAATGAACTCCCCCAACAATGTAAACAAACTATCGAATCTCTTAGAACTAGCACAAGCTCATTAGTATTACCTCCCCAACCAGGTAAAGTGGAATGGGGCTGGAGCTCCCAGTCCTCCCCAGCCCCTTACACCAGTTCTCATGCCGATGTGAATGCATCTGGAGGTCCACTGTAGAGCTCCCGAGTCATCAGTAAACTACTTTTAAGCACTCAGAACTTTGCCCTGCAGGGGACATTTGCCTAGTACTGTTCCTTGTTTTAGTCAAGTTTCATGAGTAGTTTTTCATCTGGTTTGTGTTCTGTAGACCTGTTTCTTTGGCCACTTGGAGTTGCATGTGCTCAGGGTTACCTTCCCTGTGTGTTCCCTGGTGCTTCCCCTGCACTAGCACAGTTCTCTCGTCTGGTGTATTCGGGGGCATGCTCTTGTAGAGGCTGGATGATTGAGGTGGTGGTTGCACCATGGGTAAATCAGGGTTTTTTCTGCCTCTCTCTCTCTAGCCCCATGGTTGGAGCTAGTGTTAGCTGGGGCACACTTGTTCATTCAGCCTGCAAAGGTCGGCCCTAACAACCACGTTAACTATGCTGTGTTAGCTTTCTTTATAATATCCAGCGGGCATCCGCAGTGCTTGGGTGTCCTGCTTGGTTAATCTTTAAGCAGTCTCATTGTGTGCCCAGTTGGATGCCTTGTAGCTAGGCCGTCTTGTTTTTAGGAACACAGAATTGGTGGTGGTGGTGAATTCCACCTTGGTCTGTCTGCACCTCTTCTTCCTTTTCCTTTGGGTGCAGTGTGCCTGGCTTCTGTTCTCCACTTTCCCCTCCCCAACACTCTAACTTTCCCTGCTGCTTCTGGCTCCAAAACGACCTAGGATTTTGGAGTCGGGGCAGGGTTTAGCTCGGGATGTGGCTCGGCCATCTCCAGGTGTTACTCCTTCCATTTTGGGTGAAGAGGCAGTTGAGTCACTTTTTCCTGTCAAGATTGTGGGGTTTTCTTCCTTCCAGCTAACCCCTTCCTCCAAGGCCTCTCCTAAGGACTCCACTTTTCTATCCCAGGCAGTGGGTGTGGAGTGACTGCCCCAGAGCCTTCATGCTTGATTTCCCCAGGCTTAGAGAGAGTCAGATAGTGAGTGGGCCTTGGGTTCCCTAAGACCCCACTTGGACCTTTATTCCTTCTGATGGGGTCTTTTGCTTCAGGGGGAAGGGTTTTCATATCCCTCCTCATTGAATGAGTTTGATGCTAGTACAGCTCCCCCAGGGTTCATTTCCAAGTGCCTCTCAATCCATAAGATGCATCTTATCAGAGGTTTCCTTCCTCTTGCCCCCCCCCCCTTTACCTTTCGGTGACTAGGGTAGCTCTCTTCAAGTACCTCCCGCAACACACAGTGTTTGCCTTTATGCTGAACCCTACCTCTTAAGTTTGAGTCTTCTACGCAGTACTGGTAATGCCATGAGGTTCCGGAGTCTTCCTAGCTACTGGACAATCTTTACTTTATCCTTGGGCTTGGCATACCGTCTGTCATTCCCACATTCTCAAATGATGTGAGGTTTTAATCACATTTCTGGTGTTTTAGGGTACTCTCCTTTTTGTCTGCTCAATGACTTCCTGTTTGTTTCCTGCTCTTTCCCTTGGCATGTGGTTGATGAAACAGTGTGTCTAGTTGTCTCTGCTGTTAGCGGCCATCATGACAGATGCCTTGTGGGCTGTCTTGCACTTGGCTATGGTCGTGTATGTCTTGGCCATCATGGAGCTTTATACTGACTGTCCCCACAAGAATGTGGATGCACTCAGCTCTGCATCAGGTATGGGCACTTTGTTGCCTGCAGTGTATGTGCACTTTACCCAAGCTGTATGCGTCCATGTTCCAGGACATTGATGGCCGTGTTCTACTCTGCCCATCTTGCATGTTGACACACTGTGTTGGTCCAGTTGCTTAATTTGGCTTGATCCTTGACCCTGGTTTTACCTCCTCCCTTGGTGGTTGCTTAGATTTTATTTTTGATGGCAGCTTTATGCCGGCCTATTTCCAATTCTTTCTGTTCTAAGGGTTCTCGCTCTCATCCTCTGAGAGTGAGGATGAGAACCCTAAACATTAGGTCGTCAGACATCATTGTTCCTGCTCATGCAGTGCCTGAGCTCACTTTGTTTTTTTCTAAGGCTATTTTCTGTTGGCATTTGCCTCCATTTGTAGAATTGGGGAGCTTCATGCTCTTTTCTAGTCATGGTTTTGTTCGTTTGGCCCTGGTGGGCATTATGTTCACCTGCCTGCAGCCTTCTCCATTTAGTACTAGTACTAATGAGCTTGTGCTAGTTCAGAGTGATTTAGTAATTTGTTTACATTATCGGGGAGTTTGTTTGGCAGTTTTGAGGCCTCGGTCTCTTTGAACCCAGAAGTGGCCCGTATTGTTTAACCGACTTTTGGGATGCTTTCTCGGTGGGGTGGAAGAGTGTCACCAAAGCACCATCAAAGGCACCTCTGTGTGAGATAGGGGGGGGGGGGGGGGGGTAGGCTTACGCTCAGGCTCTGGTCCCCAGGGCAAACAGACTGAAAGAATGCTGATGTAACCTAGTAGTTGGAAGCCATCTTAGTGAGATAGCTTTGGGGAGCCACCAGTGATCATCCAGAAAGAGCCATTTCATTATATTCAATGCTGCTTTGATGAGGCAGACAGGAATTAGTCCGAGGTAAAAAAAAAAAAAAAAAAAAAAAAAAAAAAAAAAAAAAAAAAAACTAAACTCAGTGGTAATGTTTTAGATATTAAATAATAAAACATGAAGGAATATTGCTTGTCCATTAATTATATCATTGACAATACAATATTATATATAGCAACATGGACAAACAAGCACTACTACACTCCAACAATCCTCCACAGCAGCAACCCTCGGCTTCACAGCATCACGAGTACACTGCTCCTTGTGGATAGTCCTATACATAACACACACACTTCCTCCGTTCTAACAAGCCACTTCCACCCAGCCTTGTCCCTTGCCACATTGTAATGTCCACACTCGGTCCTATTTTCCTCTCGTCCTTACCACACCCACAAACCTCCTTCCCACCCATCCTTTTTTTTTTCCTCGTTTGAAAATTCACCCGAATACACTCTCTTCATCAGTTTATAATCATCTATTAGATCAACATACAGAAATTATCTCACTATGCTGTCCTCAACTTAACTTTTACATTTCATATCTCGCAATGATATTTTAATTCCTTATGCAATTTTTTGTTGTTGTTGCCAAGCACCACACATGCATCTTAGATTATCCATTTGCTTTGATTCATACCACACCATCATCTGGCAACAATAACCACCACACTTTCATGCAGAACTCTGACTACATCTATTCTTATCTTGTTTTCCCCCCCCTAACAAAGTCCAAGATTCATCAAGCATTTACATCTCCACTTATGAAACCTGCACATCTTTACTCAGTCATAGTGGCTTTGTTTGTACAATACTCACATTTAATAAACAGCTTACCAGTTTCCTAACACTGCAAGGTCATTCTTGATCCAAGGTTATTAACATCCTCATAGTGCTTTAAAGCTCGTAAACCGTTAGATAAATAGACTATGCCACACAGATTGACGACAGACATAGATTTCTCACGAGTGGACTCACAGGTGCTTGATGAATCCTAGCTCTGGGCTTTTATGGAACCAGAAAATTTCCATCTCCACCTGACTATCTTGAAGTTATCTTGAGATAATTTCAGGGCTTAGCGTCCCCGCGGCCCAGTCCTCGACTAGGCCGTGGGGGACCTGGTCGAGGACCTGTTTGTTACACTACTCTCAACTTTAACTGCACGAATACATCTTTTTGGCAGTCACACATCTCTTGTATTTAAACTGATTAGCTATTTCCATCGCGTCACAATTCCCACAGAATTTCCGGAAGATAATGTGCCAGTCTCCCTGAACAAGTGCAACACTTACTTAAGAGTCATACAGCCTAAGGATGGGTCACAAGGGTAACCAAACACACACAAAAAAGCAGGCAACCATAACAGAAGGAAATGTATGAATGCAGATGCAGACAATGAATTACAATAACATGGCTGAAGATATGATGACCAAACCACACATCAGAAAACGAAGAAAAGTTGACATTTCGGTCCATCCTGGATCATTATCAAGGCATCGTCACACAACGTAATAATGGTCCAGGACAGGCTGAAGCGTTGTCATTATTTTATGATGTGTGGTCTGGTCATTGTATGAATTCAGATTGTAACATTGAACCTCAAGCACAGACCTCATAACAATAATAATAATAATAATATAATATAAAATAAATAAATTATTATTATTATTATTATTATTATTATTATTATTATTATTATTATTATTATTATTATTAACATATGTCCAATCTAAACTGCCTCTAATGAAAAAGTTAGCAGATTGTAATTATGAATCACAAAACAATAGGTAACTTTCATTTCTGTGCTTTAATTTGAAGCATTAACGAGTGCTGAACTACAAGGAATTAAGACAGAATATCATAAACAACTGTAACTATGATAATATAGATGCATTTTCAGACATAATTACATGATGTGGATTAAAGTGTAGCTTTAGAGAGGGAGATGAAAGTGGAAAAACATGAGACAAATAATCTTAAGCAACAATGACATTAATTGTACTGTAAGACAGGTTTGTACAGAGTACCTGCACCATGGCCCTTTTGACCACAGAGTCCGCACGCACACACACACGCACACACGCGCACACACGCACACACACACACACACACGCGCGCACACACACACACACGCGCGCACACACACACACACACGCGCGCGCGCACACACACACACACGCGCGCACACACACACACACACACGCAGCTTCACAAGACATGACAACTTTTTTTTTTTTTTAGTCCATGTGAACCTTAGCCAACAAAGCAATTTTTAACGTTACCCAAAAAGGGTTATTTGAGGATATAACTCGGTAAATTAAGGCACTTGTAATGAAACTTATTACATTCCGATGTTTGTGTTGTACCCAGAATGAGCCATATAAAAACCCCAATGTGAGAGCTACAATTTATAAAGCAAATGTGCTGCCCCATTCCAGCGCTTTATAAGATCCTGTAAACATATCTTTAGTAAGACTTTGGCACTTGCACTAGAAATTATTATGCTCTCAGACTTAGAGTGAAGGCACTGGAGGCGTGTATGGCCAACCACTAGCCCGAGGGCCACCATGTAAAGTTAGTTATGAAATAGTAGCTGTGGAAGGCGTACCCTGAAATAATGCTGCAAATGAGTACTGTATATGTCTGAGAACATATATTATTGCTCCCCCTGTTGATGCCAAGCAAACTGTAGTTTGAATTCCCTTTCATATACCATATTTTAAAGCAGATTGGATGAATGTTTTTTGTATGCCTATAATTGAATATATATTTACTATGTGCAAAATTTTTTATATTTATCTAGAAAACAACTTGAAAATCACTTTCAACAAATATGATAAAACAAATTTTGTTTGTTTTTACAATACTGTAATGTAACCTTGTAAAGGTGTATCCTATTTTCCAGCAAATATGTACATCAACAGTCTTCCATAGGAATTACCATAGTATACATTTTTCTCAGCAAGAAGTATGCAAGATTTTAGGTACATGTTACATCACTGATGTATATACTGTGTGGATAAGTTATAAGATTGGTAAAATATAGAGATTTTATCAGTAGACATTAGGCTACAGGAGCTGTGTCAGTGAAGTGACTAAACTAAATATCTATACAATTTGGTGTTCTAGATAGCAACATTATCTGCAACTTGTCTGTGTCATTAGTGTACATACTGTACTATTGGGGAGGGGAGGGGAGGGGAGGGGGGGGATTCAATTATTCCTGATTTGTCCTGCGTGTCTTCCCTCAGCCTAATCTCTCTTCCCTTTCACTCGGACTCAGGGTTCACGGCCGTATTCCTTCCTTCCTTCCTCGGCGTCCTGCCGTCACACTCACCTCCCCTCACCTTGCCTCTCTCTCCTCATCCCTCCCTCATATACGGCCCTCATCCTTTGTCGTGGTGATGTAACCCGCAGCGACGACCCCCTGTGTGTGTGTGGACTTTTGTAGTATTTTATCAATGACTGATTGCATTATTGGGAAGAGAACATAAAAGAGAATAACAACTGACAATCTGTTATGTCTAGATTACTGCTCATAATGAACAAGTTTAAATTTATGAAGAGAAGTTAAAAGTACACTGCAGTGCAGAGAATAAGTCACAAAAACGTGGTTGAAACAACTAACCCCACACACATGAAATACACACATGAAATAGAAGTGGCAATGTTTTGGTCCGTCCTGAACCCTCCTCAAATCATGACTTGATAAGGCACTAAGACAGGCCAAAATGTTGCCACTCATTTCATATGTGGTGTTGGGTTATTTACACTATAATAATAAAATCTTATTTACCATTTCAGCCATCTAATGATGAGGAGTGTTTTGGAAAACAACAATTAAATTTTGAGCCAAATTTAAAAAAAATTTCAATGAGAGAACCCCGAGCTTGATAGTATGGTCAAAAGTGACTAATGAATATGACACTGGATATATATAATTTTGAGGGTTGTTAAAGAAAGCATTTACAGTATGGGATTGAGAAACATCTGTATAAAAGATAAAAATATACACATTTTTAATTTAGAGAGAGAGTTGTAAATTTTAGTCAGGATTTTGTAAAAGTAAAACAAATGACTAACATTTGTGTGTGTGGCAAGATTTAACACCCTAAACTACCAAAACCTTAATTCAGTTTAATGTGGTCATCTCTGCCTTTAATGCCATCCAGTAAAATAGGAACCTTAATTCAGTTTAACACAGTCATCTCCCGTGTTCTTATTTTCCGTGTCAAAATAATTTCAAACTTTTTAATTCAAAATTCTTTTAAATGCAAATACAGTAATATGCATTTAATATAATTTAGTCGATTCAGACACATACGGTTCTGCGCTCACATACTTCACTGCACATAGCACTTTCAGGTGCTTGACAGGTGGTGTAAAAACATCTTTGAATTTATCAATATTTTAAAGTTTTTTAATGTTTTTTCACCGAGATTTGAAATGAAAATTGTTGAACTTGGTAATACTGTATTTTGACATTTTTCTCATTTTTAAAACTTTTTAGTTAATGTTAATACTAATTCATTAACAACTGCATTACGAAGTTGTCACATGAAACAGGTGCACAGAGCGAGGGTTAATTATGAAAATTCAACTACCATTTGCTTGAAGTGAAGCCAATGAGAATGCATTTTCAAAGCAGCTGGCCTACATGACACACACACCTTAGTGTGATGTGACTATAATTTTTCATTAACAAAAGCTCCCAAGTGCTTTATGAAACTACCAACAGGACATCACCACAATCAAACAAGCCATTGTTGGACAGAAAACAGGAAATGATTTTCCCCCCACGGAGTAATAAACCCATGGAATCGCCAGATACAGGTACTGGGGCACTGGGGAAAGATAGAAACTTACACGTTTGTCATGCCCTTGAAGAAGACCTGGACAAAGTACCGGTGAGCGAGTAGAGCACCATTTGGCAAAGAGAATTTAATGTGAATAAATGCCACGTTATGGAATGTGGAATAGGAGAAAACAGACCACACACCACCTACAAATTATGCAAAAAAGCTTTAAACAATTCTGATAAAGAAATTTAGGGGTGGTTCCAGGTAGAAAACCATCACCTGAGAATGACAAAGAACATTGTGTGAGGAGCCTACACCATGCTTTCCTATTTCACAATTGTTTTTAAATACTGTACATGGATGGTGAAATGCTAAGGAAATTGCTTACAACCTTTGTGAGACCAAAGCTGGAATATGCAGAGGTTGTATGGTACCCATATCTTAAGAAGCACATCAACAAACTGGAAACTGAAGGACAAGAGCTACGAGGAGAGGTTAGAGGCATTAAATATGCCAAAACTAGAATATAGAAGAAGAGGGGCAATATGATCACAACGTACAAAATAGTAATGAGAATCGACAATACTGATAGGAAAAAATTCCTGAGATCTAGTCAGTACTTCAAGAACAAGAGGTTGATCTAAGCTAACTAAACAAAGCTGTCGAAAAAATATAAGAAAATTCACTTTCGCAAACAGAGTGATAGACGGTTGGAACAAGTAAAATGAGATGGTGGTGGAGGCCAAAACTATCAGTACTGTAGTTTCAAAGTGTTATACGACAGAGTGCTGGGAAGACAGGACACCACGAGCGTATCTCTCATCCTGTAGCTACGCTTGGGTAATTACACTTAGACAATTACCAGCCAAAGCCACAAATGCTAAGACAGCACTCCCATTCAAAATTCAGCTAGAAAAAATCCTCAGGAATAATAGAAGAACTTTGACAAGTCATTGGCTTCCTGTCCCCATTGAGACAATTAAAGATGGTGAACCACAAGTAAATTCAAATAAAATAAGTGCAACTTTTATATTGAGGTAAGCTTGTCAAATGCAAGAATGTCCACGGGCTCCCCATAGCCCGTGCTACTTGAAACTTTTTGTTCCAAGTAGCGAATCTTAACAACAATAACAACAACAATGTCAATTTAAAAAGCAGAGTTGCAACCAATGATTTGCATGCCGGTAACACTAACTGTAACTATAGCTTTAACCTGTATGTATAATACATTAGCTACTGTATCTAATGTTAGCTACATGGGTATACTCTAATTTCTAGCTCGATAGTCACACATTCTGCCAGTCAGCTAGATATTTAACTAGCCAGTTGGGTATACTAACATTCAGCCAGATATCCAACCAGCCCATCAGGTATACTGTCAGTCACAAAGTAAGAAGCCAGCCTGCCTTCTCTTCTGTAAATAGGAAATGACTAAAATGAACTCTATCCATATTCCATACACCTGGGCTGTAGGAGACTCGAACCATGGACCCCACACGTCAGGCCCAAGGCTCTATCAACTGGGCTATCTTGAGGGTTATCTTGAGATGATTTCGGAGCTTGGCGTCCCCGCAGCCTGGGCCTCGACCAGGCCTCCTATTTGTTACACACCCCCAGGAAGCAGCTAGTAACAGCTATCTATCTAGTACTTATTTACTGCTAGGTAACAGGAGCATCAGGGTGAAAGAAACTCTGCCCATTTGTTTCCGCCTCCACCGGGGATCGAATCCGGAACCTCAGGACTACGAATCCGAAGCGCTGTCCACTCAACTGTCAGGCCCCTATGATGGCTATGAGTAGTCTCAATAAGGAAAGTTTTGTTTTCTATCCATATTAATTGTAACCAATCAAGAGGAAACCCCTGGCTATCATATTTCAGGATACAGGAAAAGTGGCATCAGGTCAAGTCGCTGGTAGCGGGATACTGGTGCCTAAAAACATAGTGGCTGAACTAATGGACAGAGCGAACCCACAAATATGTCGGGACCTCTTTGAAAATACTCCAGTAATATATTAAGTCCAGAAATAAACATTTGGTTTGCCATGATGATGTACAGGTTTCTTATGAAATAAAAAGATTTTTGTCGTTTGTCGAATTTAAAGGGTTACATTTGATTTTGTTGGTTAACTTTAGTTTTCAGGAAGATGTACAGTTCTTAAATGGGTAGGGTTCAAGACCTGAGAAAAATACGTACCCTTCTATGACATTGCTACTCTTTAAGCAAATCTAATCTTACCTAACCCAATCTAACTTGACCCTCAGTAACCTATCCTAACCTAACCTAATGAAAATATGAGATCAAATGTTATGCTTTATAGATGGTGTGCATGAGGTGTGTGACATCACTATAATGTCACAATGGTCATGCTGTACAGGTTTTAAACCTACAACCCTAAACTACAGGGTAACACACCTAATGAGCTCCATTATGGGTATTAAACAATATAATTACCCAAGTGTAATTACAAGGGTAAGAGCTACGCTCGTGGTGTTCCGTCTTCCCAACAATCTGCCTTATAATGCTTTGAAACTACTAATGGTTTTGGCCTCCACCACCACCTCACTTATTAACGTGTTCCAACTGTTTACCATTCTGCTTATGAAAGTGAATTTTCTAATATTTTTTTTAATGTGACTGGACATTGTCACCACAAATTTCTCACAGTCAGCAAATGGCCAGCTAAATCATGTACGCATTTCCAAATAAACTGAACTTCACAATCACCAGTGCATGATTACCTAGCATATTCATATCACAATATAAGGATCAGTTGTTCTCTTACCATGAGGAATGATACACCTGCCTTCTCTTCTGTAAATAGTAAATGACTAAAATGAACTCTATCCATATTCCATACACCTGGGCTGTAGGAGACACCATCCCCCACATAACACCACCACTGGTCTACTGATATACAGTACAATGTCACAAGGGCCACCCTAACTTCCAATCTGCATTCAAACCTTAAAAAATCCCAAACCATTTCCCTAATTCAAATAATCCACTTAACACCTACCAATCTCCCACAGAGTTTGGGACCAAAGAGCAAAAGCTCAACACCCCCCCCCCCCCTCCTTGGCAAGCACAACTGGATGAGTACTGGTTGATACCTGGTTGATGGGGTTCTGGGAGTTCTTCTACTCCCCAAGCCCGGCCCAAGGCCAGGCTCGACTTGTGACTTACTTACTTACTTGCAACTTACTACCCTACTTTTCAACCATCCCCAGCAACTTTCTTACCATATACTGTACTGTACCCACATTAATACCCTACCACACACGACAAACTTTGGTGCTACCTTAGCGTGGGATCTAACTGACCACTTACACTGTAGCGTGCAGTCTTCCTCAACCTAAACTAACCCACGTAATCAGCTGATGTTTCAGTAGACAGGTCAGGTCATCAAAGACTGGATACTGCAGTAGACTGCACGTTAAAGTAGCCCCGAAACTTTAGTGTCTGGACAATGGAAAACTTAAATGTGAAGAAACACAGAAGAGAGCTTTAATGTTATGTACACAGACAGATAGGCTTATGAACTAAGGAAATTGACTCCCAAGGTGAGCCCATATCCAATTACTTCACATTAAAGAAAACTCCCATCAATCATATTACATACAATATTTTTACACATTCCAATAGTCTACATAAATCTCTACCACTCCTAAAATAAAACCATATCATCCGTATAATTCATATTTGACATATTCCATTTAGGGTAAACTCGCTGGTCTCTGGACAGTTAAAGGGTGTTTCTTACATTTTTGATAGATTTAAAATAGTAATACAGGGTATTAAGTGGTTTGCTAAAGTTATGACATGAATTGAAAGAGGAGATGTTGTTCTATAAATTAGATGCTGGACATGCAAAATTAGTGAAATTCTGGCAGTGTCTAATATTTAAGTACTGTATGTGCAAAGTGTCCGGACACACAGGCACTGGTCTCCAGACATAAGAGTATTATTATTACCTTTCTCCCCACCTAATTATAGCTGAAGAACTTGCAATACTTTGCAAACCGCAACTGCAGAACACAACCAACAATTTATATAGTTTGGTTACTCTACACTTTTGCTGCATTTTGTACAAGACACAACTGTGGCCATAGCTGTTTATTTCAACTCAACTATACAGGCCATGTACACCTTAGGATCTCTTTCAGGTACCTTCTCTACAAGTTTAGCACTCTCTACAAGATTAATTTATCTCCAAGCTTAACAAATCCTTCGCCCTGCACGGCTTTGCCCTCCACATCTTCTGCTCTGCATGGTTTTCACCCCTCGCAGTTTTAGCTTTGCACGACTTTTGCCCTGTACGACTTTCACCTTGAACAACTCTCACCATACACAACTCTCATCTTAACCAACTAGCACCTTGCATGACTTTCTCCTCCAAGACTTTTCCCCCTTACCTTGTTCTCTTGGGAGGCGCAGGTGCTTGTTTGCCCTTCTTGTTGGTAGTTCGCCGAAGTTGAACCACCGTTGATCTCGCTGACAGTATACCTGGACTAGGGCGGACATCTCGGGGCAAGTTGGGACTACTGCCTTCATCCATAACATTATGCTTGTTCTTGTTGCTTCTTCTTAAAACAAAGGGTAGAAATTAAACACACATTTTATTATAATAAGCAGTCATATTATCCACTATATCCTACTTCCTCGACAGATTTAAGCGAAACCTATAGTATATATATTTTGACTAAGAGTAGAGCAGGTGTCGTCTCTCAACTCGGAAACCACGTCCTGCAACTCATAGAACTATTGTACAAAATTTAAAAAACATTTGTTCTGTAATTATTTTATTTCAGGAACAGTGTGTGTTCAAACCTTCCACCATTATGATTGATAAATGCAGACAGTCATCCAGTTGGCAATAACTGGATGATTGATAAATGCAGACAGTCATCCAGTTGGCAATAACACAAATGACATGAGCATAAAAATGATGAGCAAAAAAAAAAAGATGAAATTAATTATTTAAATGTTCACACCAGCTGACATGTGCACACCAAATGTGCATAAGGGGCAAGGTGCGCGCAAGAGGCAAGGTGCGCGCAAAAGGCAAGGTGTACACAAGAGGCAAGGTGTGCACAAGAAACAAGCTTTAATATTATGATAAAACCAATTAGAAACAAAAATATTTAGTCAAACTGTATATTTAGTGTGTGTTAATCAAAAGACTAGTAGTCACGTGCCAGAGGACACTGACAACTTACTGGCGGGCAGAGGATGTGCGAGGGCTGGTGGGAAGCTGATCTTCACCCCACTGTTGGTGCGTGCTGGAGGACGTCGATCCTCTCACTTTTCTTCCTCCGCCAGCTGCTAACTGTTGCTCCACTTCTATAAACAAAAAATTACTCCATCTTTATAAGATACAATACCTATAAATTTCAGATATTGAAAAATATTTCAATTAGAAATAACAAGTGCATAACATAAATCACAAGAGCATGGCTTACAATTAATACCCAACCCACACTTAAGGAAAGAACGAAAAATGACAATGTTTTGGTCTGACTTGGACCTTAATTAAGTCACGTCAGATGAAGCCCCTTTCTCTTACCCTCAGTTATAGATGTCTCTTGGAACATTGTTTCTAATGCATGGTGGATATGAGAAAATGTGGGGCGATCCGAGGGATTCCAAAGCCAACACTGTTTCATTAGCTCGTACACCCGTACTGGACAGCCCTGCGGACAGTCCATCCTGAAAGAGAATAATATTTTGTTAAGAAACTTGTATGCCTCCCAGTACATTGAAAAAGATATAATTCTGATCCTATTGTGATTGGCTGGGCTAGTAAATCAAGCAGAAGCACTACAGTACATCTTAACGAGTCCCATCCATCCACCCTCACACCTAATATGTAGAATCTTTATGGAATCGATCATTCCATTAAAAATAATATGTATTAGTAATAAAAGGAAGCATAGCAAAATTCGTGTTTTTTATGCATCAGCCTCAATAGGTTAGATGGGTTGCTTGAATTCATTACATTTCTGGATATGCAAAATAGTTACATTTTTATGTAACTATTTTGTTGCATCAAAATTATTGCAAATCAAGAGAATGAGTTGAACCTCTACCCAAAAGTACATAAATAAATTTTCTCAGTTTTAGTGCAGACTGGGTTTTTTTTTTTTTTTGGGGGGGGGGGCTTGCATAAAATCATAAAATAAATCTGGCAGTTCAGATTTTTTTTTTTTTTTTACAATTCTTCATAAATCTTCATACTAAGCATTTTGTTTATAAACATCACGTGACAAAGGAAAAATGGGTCACCATGAGTGTAGCTCGAATCCTGTAATTATACTCAGATGATTACACTTATGTAATAACACTGTCAGTGTCTTCCCGGATGTTTTTATACTAAACTTTATACAAAATGGGAAAACAAAAATTATCAAAATTGTAAAGACTGAGTATCATATAGTATAATCAAGTCTTACTATTTAGGAGATCTCGCAGCTCAGTCCACAATACTTTATCATGCAGTTATTTTCCAGGGACCAATGTCCCCACAGCTTGGTCTGAGACCAGGAGGCCGCCTTGATGGCAGTTTAGTCAACCAGGTTGTTAGACACTGCTGCTTAGAGTCTGATGAATGAATTACAGCACATTGCAAGAAGTGGTGACTAACAGCCTGGTTAACCCGATCACCAACTAGGAAGCCTGGCTGGGCCATGCAGATACCGATCCTAAAAACTACCTCACAGTAAACTCAAGGTTACTGTATATCTGCACATAAAAAATTTAATAGTAACCTCATTTGGTAAAGTAACAATTACCACATATCTTGAGATGATTTCGGGGCTTAGTGTCCCCGCGGCCCGGTCCTCGACCAGGCCTCCAAGTGTCAGTGTTGCCTTATGCAGACGACGAGTCACAATAACGTGGCTAAAGTATGCTGACCAGACCACACAGTAGAAGGTGAAGAGACGACGACGTTTCGGTCCGTCCTGGACCATTCTCAAGTAAAGACCATTCACAATCGACTTGAGAATGGTCCAGGACGGACCGAAACGTCGCCGTCCCTTCACCCTCTAGTGTGTGGTCTGGTCAACATTGTTGTCTTAGTTCCAGCTACTGGTCATCAGCTATATGGAAATTTGTGGTAATTTTTCTGCAAAAGTTTTCCAATAATCAAAATTGCTATTTTTTGTGTTTTTTTACCCCATTATTTTGATTATACTTTAAGAACAACCCATTTCCTTTTGACACATTTTCCTGTAAAAAAAAAGGATCACTTGATTTGTTTCAGGGAAGTGAGTTAAACTTATATATGAGTAAGTTTGCATGATGTAAATAGAGGCTGCCTCATATGGTTAGAGTGCTTAAAGCAAAGGTGAAACATATATACAGTATATATATATCAATGAATGAATTTGGGTGGATATAAATAGGAGCTGCCTCATATACACCAAGAGACCTTCTAAAATTTCCTATATTCTTATGATGATATGAATTAAACACAGTGAACACCTGGTATCAAGAAATCTATAAACTTATGAAAAAAGCCAAAATATCATCCCCCCCCCCCAGGAATCAATTTATATTCTGTATTCTGCAGTAAACCAATTACCAGTAATCCCTATGAATCAACAAGGAGAAAATTCTTACCTGTAACCAGATTCCAACAGATGATAAACATTGGTGAGGTCCACCCCAGGATATGGAGATACTCCATAGGTTGCAAATTCCCACAGTAAGATGCCAAAGGCCCATACATCAGACTGAAAAAATACATAAATTTAGCATATTTTTCCACACAATACTACATTATATTTACAGTATACTCTTTCTCCCTCAATGTAATCAATCATACTTTTCCAGCAGATAAGACCTTTTTGACTCCCCCACCAAGCAAATATATTGCATTTATATGCATATTTCCTACAAAGAGACTTGTATTTGTAGGACTTTCCAACAAATATGATTAAACATTCTATAACAAAACATTTGCCACAAAATATCGGTGTAAATGATAAGATCTTATACACTGCCAATACAGTGACTAAGACAAGATGCAATAGGAAAAACACTAAAAGACATCTAGATATTTTAATTGTTTTCCTTAATGAGCACTTGTCCTCTTGAATAATACATCTCATTTTGACGTCAAAATCCTCAACGGACAAAATATGATGTACTATACCTGCTTGATGAAAAGCATATAAAGGCACTATAAAATATAGTAGCTCATAAACATTCATGATTTCTATGCATGGGTTGCATGGTTAGGTTAGGTTAGGTTCGGGTATTTTGGAACACCATTTTCTGTCCACTGTGGCAACTCGAGAGGACGGGCTGTTGTACGAGCCTGGTCCATGATTATTTCTTACAAGTCTTGAAAGCCTTTTATGAGCTTAGCATCCCTGAAATATAAGAGTGGTTGATAATGGTACCTGTTTATGACATCTCTTGTCGGTCTTACTGACAGACTGCCAGACTTATGTCTGTAAATTCTTACGTCAAGTCTTTTCCTAAAATTATCCAGTGTGCCTTTTCTGGAGAGCCTGTCCCATTCACCTCATTAAATTATGTATATTGAAGGATGGCACCTATTTGGAAAAGTAATCACTCCTGTGCAGTTCATTTCCATCTGGATAAATGTTAGAGACAATTTTCTACTGTTGGGGGACAGGAAGCTTGTTAGGCTTATTGAAGGCCCCTTTGGCCTACAACTGACCTACTCCAAGATGCAATCCTCAACAGATGCCCAACTTCCAAGTGCTGTACCTATTTAATGCTTGGTGAACAGCGGCATCACGTGCAAGAAAACTTATCCATACATCTCGTCTTGTTCAGAAGTTAAATGCCGACTGCACAGTTGTGAGCCAACTAAACTGTCGCCTGAATTAGCAGTTCCACCTTTGGCTCCATTACCTGGCAGAGAAAGCAATTCGTACATGCTGTAATTAATTCTTATGTAAATGGGTTGTTCACCTAATTTTGTTTTCCTTTAAACAGGTTGTCTGGATTAAATTCCTTCATATATGTTGAAGTTTGTTTAGACTAGAATTAATTACTGTACTTCTAATTTAATCTGGATTAGCTTTGCCATTGTTGATAATGAGGAGTGATGGGTTTTCTTTTGTTCTTTATATTTCATATATCCAATACTATCTTTAATATAGGTTTGAGTAGGAGGTTGATTAGATTTTGTTTTATATTTGATATCAACAATTGTTGTTATATGGTGTAAATCAGGAAGCTTTTCGTATGGAACTTTCACATCAAAGGGATGGATACCACCAGGTGTCACTGACAGTGGTGTATCAGGATTCATTGCTTGTGCCAATTTAGCTTTGGGATTTGTCAGTAAAGTGTTTTTTCCAGTTTTTTCTGCTAGGTTGGTTAAAAGAGCCAACAGCACCCTCGTATTAAACCTGTTCTTGAACATCTTTAGATTCATCCGATTTGGTCAATGAAGCTCAATGAAGCTAAAGAAATAGTCTTTCTTACAGTAAGACAAATAAAACAAAGGTATGAAAGACCATTTGGACTAGCCCCTTGACTAAGAGCATGTGGTTGTGTGATGAAAAGGAACAAGTTAATCTGGAGATCATATATTTGAGAATGTCTTAATGACAGCATTTACAAATACTGTATGTACCATGACACCATGACTTTGACTGTGCGAAGATAGTTCGGCACGAACCACTCGGTAATAAAACAGAACTGTAAATGGAGCGAGGAATCTCTTTTAGCATACCCTATGGTGTATATCACAGAAAATGGCCCGCAAGCTCACAGGGAGCGAGCAGTCTGACCGGACCCTAAAATCATGTAAACAGGGTGTCTCTCCCTATCTTGAGGTTATCTTGAGATGGTTTCGGGGCTTTAGTGTCCCCGCGGCCCGGTCCTCGACGAGGCCTCCACCCCCAGGAAGCAGCCCGTGACAGCTGACTAACACCCAGGTACCTATTTTACTGCTAGGTAACAGGGGCATAGGGTGAAAGAAACTCTGCCCATTGTTTCTCGCCGGCGCCTGGGATCGAACCCAAGACCACAGGATCACAAGTCCAGTGTGCTGTCCGCTTGGCCGACCGGCTCCTCTCCCTCCCTGCTTGGGATTTGTACATTTATAGACTATACAACACTAACTGGCGATTTACATTTACTTAACCCTCGTCTGGTGGATATGCAAGACATTGAACTATTAATTTGCACTGAAAAGAGAATTTAAAGTTCACACTTGAACTCATTCAGTAACAATAAGCAGACATATTCAGCAACAAAAAGCAGATGAAATAGCTTTCATATATCTTACCTTAGTGGAGAATTTATTATATGCAAGACCCTCCGGTGCTGTCCACTTGATAGGGAATTTGGCACCAGCATGGGCCGTGTAGGTGTCGTCCCTCATGAGCCGGGCTAACCCAAAGTCCGCTACCTTCACCAAGTGATTTTCACCAACCAAACAATTTCTAGCTGCCAGGTCCCTGTTAAAACCACATTCAGATTTAACCAACATTTCTGGAGAGCAAAAATAATAACAGACTACAGAAATGGGAAATGAACTAACATTACTATACAGTACAAGTTAACAATACGGGGAAAATAATTTATATATACAGTACTCTGTCATTCTGTCTCCTCCTCCATTTTTCTTTTGAATATAATAAGACTGAGGGTCATTAGGAATGATGCTGGTGTTGCTGATGAAACTGCAAGCTAAGAGCTGTTACTTTACATCAGCTTATCTCTCTCTTCCTGATAATCACTTACCTAAACACTCAGTTTTGACTCGCATGTACTCAGCTGTTACCTGTGTATAAAATTTCTCTCCTCCAGATACTCCATAGCTGCAGCAACTTGCGTGGCCATGTAGAGAAGAACCACTTCGTTAACCTCGTCATGACTGCAAACGCGTAGGTAATCTAGCAGGTTTCCACGCGTCATGAATTCCGTAACTATGTAAAAGGGAGGCTCCCGCGTGCACACTCCCAATAGCTGCACCAGATTAGGGTGCTTCATTGCCTTCATAATAGCTGCTTCTTCTAAGAAATCTTTTAGAGCCATCGTGTCCTCCTAAAAATAGTCATTTAAATAACTATAATGCACTGTGTGTGTATGCTACGATTTGTAAACCATGATGATAATTTCTACAATAAAAGTAGCAAATATGTCATAATAATGTGGCTGAAAACAAAGAACTTAACCGACACATGAAATGAAATAAGCGACGACGTTCCAGTCCCTCCCAGACCTTGTGGCACGACTTGATAAGGGTCCAGGACAAACTGAAACCATCTATTTTTATTTCATATACAGTATACTGTACAGGTATGTGGGTTGGGTTATTCTACAATAAATGTTGTACAAATATTTATTATAAAAATAAATACTGTATGAAAGTGCACTGAACAAAAGCTTTTGAAAGACCAGTTGTAAACTCTGTATAGTACTGTACTGAAGCAAACCAACACATTTATTTTTTAAATAACTGGAAACAATATAGATTTAATAGAAAACTACTTAACGTTTTAAACAAATTTTACTGGCTTAAAATTATAAATATAGAAACGAGACCCCGCTTGAGCAGGACCGCCTCCGAGCGTGAAGTGTTTACGCACCTTGAGTGTCTTCACCGCAACACAGATGTTATACCTCTTCCACACTGCCTCGTACACATCCCCGTACTGACCACCTCCAAGCTTATGCTTCATTGCTATGTCGGTTCTCTCAATTTCCCACTCATCGGGCTCTGAATAAATGGCAATTATGAAAGTAAATACTAGTAAAGGTCCTGTAAGTCTTCAGTAAATAAGCAAGGATGCATGTTACAATGTGGTAATGGATCCCTCACAACCGAGGGATCCAGGTTCAATCCCTGGCCAGGACAATTATGTCAATGTATTAAATATTTCTGTCAATATTTTTGAAAGCAAACTAGCATTTATAAGACCACCAAATTTCCAACTGCCCAAAAGTAACCATTTATGGAGAGGTAAAATTTAAATAGAATTAGACAAAATTAGTTTGTAGAGCTGTTGGATGTACCGTGTCCTCAGTTGTTGATGCTTGTTCATATTTTATAAATTGAAAGAGATAAATTTAAGAAATACCAGAATGTCCCTTGAATATCAAGCAGAAATTAAGTGGAAATGTGTGGCATTAACTATTAAACAGAAAATAAATACTGTACCCTATACCACATACAGTACAGTACTGATATTTGGTACACAACTACAGTCATTAAGTCATATAATTTATTTTGCTTATTGGATGAGTCTTCTTACACTGTGATGGTTCCAGGAATCAGCATTCCCATGGCCCGGTCTCTGACCAAGCCTCAAGATTGGTAGTCAGGTTAACAGGGCTATTAGATGCCTCTGCTTGCAGTCTGACATATGAATTACAGCCCAATTGAACAGATATTCTTTGAAAGTATTTATCAAGTTCCCTTTCAAACACCCTGAGAGATCAGCTAGTTATATACCTTATGTATAAAGGGAGTACACACTTGATCCCTTAATGTTGACAGAATTAACTCTCAAGGTACCAATTTCACCTCTGGTTATCTTGAGTTATCTTGATCTTGAGATGATTTCGGGGCTTTAGTGTCCCCGCGGCCCGGTCCTCGACCAGGCCTCCACCCCCAGGAAGCAGCCCGTGACAGCTGACTAACACCCAGGTACCTATTTTACTGCTAGGTAACAGGGGCATAGGGTGAAAGAAACTCTGCCCATTGTTTCTCGCCGGCACCTGGGATCGAACCCAGGACCACAGGATCACAAGTCCAGTGTGCTGTCCGCTCGGCCGACCGGCTCCCCTGTCTGCTTCTCAATGGGGGGTATTGTGCACTTCTTCTGAGACCAAGGGACATGGCAGGGAGTTACTCTATCTCAATGTGCAGATTTGGAACTAGTCCGCCCTGATATTTTCTAAGTTTAAATTATTATACATCTCTTTCACCTGTGCTATAAAGAATACAGTTTGAGAAATTTTAAGCATTCCTAATAACTTAGATGGTTTATTAAATTTATTTGGGCAGTAAAATATCTTTGCACATTCTCCAGCTTTAAATGGGACTGTTTGTGTTCAACAATATTCCACCCAGGAGAGCACTAGTGTCTTCAAAAGTATCATCACTGGTTCAACATCTCTTGTTTGAAGTACTGTATTCTTGTTATCCAACTTTTTCTTTTTTTTTTTTTTGCAGATGTGACAGCTACTCCACTGAAAATACTGCTAAGAAATAAACAGTATTAAATGTAATGAAATGCCTCTTTCTGGTAGAGTTCCAGTGACTCCCCAAAGCCATCTCACTAGTACTGAATGTTTCTCCATTCTAATAGAGAAACAGGAATTCCATTTGGCCTACCAGGGACCTGAGCCAGAACCTGGCCCCACTCATAGAGGAGCACCGAGTGTGCGTCAATCAGCCACCCCAAACGAAATAGCATTCAAAAAGCCAGCAAAGCTTTGCAGGCCACTGGAGTGTTAACAAAAACCAAAACCTTGAAATAACGAAACAACTCCAAAAATGATGCCAAAAATCAATCAATCAATCAATCAAAACTAATCAAAACTAGCTTAACCCTGTTAATACTGATAGCTGCCACTAGGCAGCCCAGCCTCAGCCCACAGCGGGTTTCCCCAATCACTTCTGTTAAGAACCCACAGACGGACCAATGAAACTGAAGGGAAGAGAGGGAATCAGGGATTCACTGGGGTTCTACCTGAAAGAGGCATTTCATTACATTTAATGCTGGGGAGAGCCCCCACCCTACCAGTGTCTCCCCCAACATGAGGAGAGGTGGCTAAAATGAAGGAGAGACTCCAGGCCAAGGAGACATGGCCCAAAGTAACACACAATCAACTGGGACCAGGAATATTACCCAAATGCCGGGCCGCCAAAACCTTGTTAAGACTACCAAAACCCGAGCTCAAACATCAGCCGAGGACATCGAAGAGACTCCCACCAAGATGGCATACTGTACTTGCGAACATGATGGGCCCAAGGGTAGAATGTAGGCTGGCTAGACTTACTGACACTGAGGATGACTTGGAAAATGTGAGCCTTAGAAAAGAGCCCCAAGGAGACATGGTTGACCAATAACACATCAACCGAGGCAGAACCAGTGGTCCACAGATAATGGCAGAGAGCTTACACAAGGCACAACTAATGATGCTCCCCAACCAAATCATCCAAGCATCAATCATGAAAGAACCCCTACTTAAACAAACAGGTTCATTCTTTACAAAAAATGAAGGGGTGTAAATTAATAACCGCCCACCAGGGGTCAAAGAAATAAAACACACACACATCTCTGGAGAAGAACACGAGACATTCCCCCCACCCCGGTAGCAGGAGGTAACAGTCAATAAAAACACAGCGTTAAGGGTTACATCACAAGTCAAAAGTGAAACCGTAAACTGAGGCGAGGAGATAAATATCAAAACTTTGTCAAAAGACCAAGACAGCTCAGCAGGAACATAAGGAGGCCGGAGGCAAGAAAGATACAAGAGTGGTGAAGAAGAATGCAAGACTTCTCTTCTTGCAGAATGGTGCAGAAAAGGAGTCGACGCCGAACACAAACAACAGGGACCCCGCCCATGCCAAACAATAAGAGGCAACAGTATGGGGCATGAGATGCCAATTGAGAAACAACAAAGACCACCCTGGCAAAAACTAAAGATAAACAATGCAAAGACAGCACACTGTGAAACAAGTGTCAGGTAACTTCATACTGCAGCTGCAAAGAAAGACACCAATAAACCAGCCACCTGCTCACCATACACATGGCAATAGAACGGTGTCAATGTATAGATGCTTAGAGTAAAGGAGTTCAAACCAGCAAAGTATGTTACTGGGTCGATCTGCTGATAGAGGCAGAGTCATGGAAAAATGCCTGTGTTCAGACACTGAGCTAGAAGTGCCAGAAACCACGGCTGACCCTACCCAAAGTAGACTCCAGACTGGACAGAATCTTAAGCAACAACTAAACCAGGGAAAGAGAGGTAAATGCTCCCCAATCAGTCTAGCTAAAAGGTAAGAGCCCCACGATTGAGGAACAGAGCAATGTAGGAGGGATGACCTCAGTTTCAAGCTGATGTGAAGTGGTCCACCTCAGGGGGAAATTGAGAATCTCACCCACCCGTGAGAATGTTCGACACACCCCGCATGTGAACAGTGCGGAGAACCAAACCCTGAGAATCCAGAAGCCAACTCCAAAGGAGAATAGACTGAAATGACCCCCCTCCTCGATTCAGGCAATGAACCACTTAGAAGTCGTCTAAGTGAAGCTGAAGCATGGAGCCCAGCGGAAGCTGAATCCTCTTCAAGACATGCCACACAGCCACAAGCTCCTGAATCTGATTATTGACCTTAGGTGGCTTGGCAAGCACTGGTCACATAGCCGTAGCCCAAAGCCTAGGCATCTGTGGGCACATCGTGCAATAATAGCAATAATCCTCAAAAAGCCTGGAGAAAACCATTAAAGCAAGAGCCGACGAAGGGCAGGTGGGGCCCAAGCTCACCGGTCATGGGAGCAGAACAGGTGGAATCAGAGAAACTGGGTATAATACCTGGAGCCAAACTATGCTCAGGTAAAGTTCAGGCTTCCACACAACTGTTCAATGAACCGAAGAGTCACCCAGGGCTTCCTTTCAGAGAACTAGTACAAAAACTGGCACCATGTTAGGTACATCAACATTAATTTTCTGATGCCCATGCTAGTGACCAATTAATGCCATGTAAAACTTAAAAAGACTTTTATGCACCTGTAAGATATTAGTGATGAGGATAAATCTACTACAAAAAGTTAACAAGAAAATTAATTCACAGAATTTGACGTAAAACATTCTTCACCACACTATGGTCAAGCTAAAAGGATTAGACTTTTTTTTTTTTAGTCAGGGATATTTTATTTTTTTTTTTTAATTTTTCCCGCCATCAGAAATAAATGTGTTACAATATTCAGTAGAAGGAAAAAACTTTTTATTTATGCACACCAGGAAATTAACTTAATTTAGAGTGTGTAGTTAGGCAATTAGAGGCTAATAGAGAAAGCACCACAAACATTAATATAAATTTCCCAAATTGTCAGCATTGGTGAATACAGTGGTGCATTAACTTGTGTATCTTGCATCTTAAATTGCTACATCACAATGCACAATATGCAACTTCAAAATGGTATTCAAATACTATTGTTACAGTACCTGGTGTGAGTCCAAATACAGTTGGTTTATTTCTCTTCGGCGCAGGATAAAGCAACTGTGTGATGAGCCCATCTGCATGTTGGGAATGATGGTGGACCAACTCCGCTAAAGTGTTAAACCGAAACTCTGATGACACGTACAACTGTAAAATTAATAAATACAATCAAGAAATGAAGCTCATACCTCATCTCTATTATAAAAATAATAAACTTTCTAGATTCACAACACTGCACAGAAGTTTTCCATAACAATTATTACTATAAATGCAGAGAATAAGCCAAAATACTGTAATGTGACTGCAACAAAAACTCGATAAACACATGAAGTGAGAGTGACGACGTATCTGTCCGTCCTGAACCTCCTATGTTGTGACGTGTGTGGGGGTTGGGTTAAATTATCATCAATATTGAATAATGGATCATTGAAAGCTGAAAACTTTTTACGTATAATGTAACTTTCATCTGAGTACATATTGTAATTGGGTGCCAACAGTTTTTTTTTTTTTTATTATTATTATTATTATTATTTTCTACCACAAACGTGGCCAGACATTTACAATGCTAACCAGCATATATACATTTTCTTCTGTCCTCCATAGACAGGGTTAGAGATCAGTTAAACATATAGTTCAGGGATTTATTGAACAATCAACCACAGAAGGTGATTTGGTACTTTTAAAATGCTAAGCTAACCTACATACGTAAATACATAGATACACAGATTTACGTATCCCCTACATAAAGTGTTTGAAGTGTCATTAATGTGCATTTATAAAGGTGAAATGCAATTCTGATCAGCTTCCATATGTACTTTATACACATACATATACATACACACACATATATACGTACACATATATATATATATATATACATGCATATATACACACATGCATTCACATACATTTGTCTCTTTTACTCTGACAGGGTGAGATAGCCGACAGAAACTAGTGTGCAATTAAGCACTTAATCATTGAAGGTGATTAAGGTGCTTTTACAAGCTCAGGTTATATAGTTACATCACATACATACATTGTATAAATGATACATTACATGGTAAATCTTGGATACAAGTCCAATATATCATCAAGTGTTCCAGTACTCGTATAGTAATTACACAGTTCAGCATACCTCAGTCCAGGAGGGCGAAAGTCAGACAATATGGGACATTCTACAATATAATGTTCATGAGAATGCATGTTTTCTCTTTCACAAAGTTGACACATTGTGTACTCGACATTTGGGTTTTGAGAAAGCTGCCAGATACGTCTATATCCCAGGCGAATTCTGGCCACTATAACATCACATTGCCGGGTTCTTGTTCTATTAGTCCTATATGTGAATGTCTCCTCACGATATCTATCATAATATTTAATGCTACAACTTTCAGGTCTTTGTGAATTTGTTAGGTCGGTGAGATCTTCATTAGATATTTGTTTAAGTATTCTCTTTGTCACTGCTAATGAAACACCCATATCAATTTCTACCACTGGTTTTCTACAGGCTGTCTTTGCAAGCATATCAACAGTGTCATGCCAAGAGATGCCAACATGTGATGGTATCCATAGGAATTTAATTTCAAATCTGTTTTCTTTAGCAGCTAAAACATTCATTCAAATATCACTGACTATTTTATGGGTGTCACTACTATGTGCGTTCAATGCCAGGAGTGCACTCTGCGAGTCACAGTATATAAGTCCACTGCCTTTGTCTTTTAAAAATTCAGTGGCAAGGTATATGCCTGCAAGTTCGGTTCGAGTTGTACTTGCCCAGTCATTGACGCACTTCATTGCTGTATGTACGAGAGAAGATTGTTCAAATATATTGCATGCACATCCGGTGCATCGTCCACCTTCTTCTACAGAGCCGTCGGTATAGCACTGATACACATCGTTACCCATACTCTGAGTACTCTCAGTGATGCTTTTCAGTGTTAACTGATTTAATAATGTAGTGTGCACACTACCTTTCTTGGGCGCATTTACAAAATCAACTGATAGATCCCAGTTATCCCATGGAGCAATTGGTTGATTAATCATTAATTGAGTTGGGTACATATTTAATATTTTGATGGAGTTGGCTACCTTGTAGAACCAAAATACATAATCAGATTTCGTTCTTCTTCTATAGACCTCAGGTGTGCGCAGCGTATTAGAAAGTTTAGCTTGAAACTTCATGTGTTGTCTAGATCTACTCAATGCCTTCACGCCGAAAACTGTGCTAATAGACAAAATTCTCTCACTTATAGTAGGTAATTTTAACTCTGCTCTCATATTAACTATTCTCGTGAACTTTGGAGCCCCAAGGATGTGACGCATAGCTTCATTTTGCAAGGTTTCAAGAGATTTCAGCTCTTTGTCAGTATACAGTGTGAGATGTAGAGCATTGTCACACACATTGTCAATCACAGAGCGTATAAATGATACATAAAACATTCTAGCAAGTCTCACGTTGATTCCATGATTGACACCAACAAGGACTCGCAAGGGCTTTAATCTCTCCCACAGTCTCCTCTTGAGAGAAGAAAGGTACCCAGGGTCGTTAATGGGGACACCAAGGTATCTGTAAGACTCGCAGTTCTCAAGTGCTCGCCCATCTATATGATAATTGGGTGGTGGAATACCACATGGAATGAGGGCACGAGTTTTCTGTACAGAGATAAGGAGGCCACATTCCTCAGCTCTAGTAGTAAAAGCATCGAGCAGAACTTGCATTCTAGGCTCGGAGGCAGCCTGTAAACATATATCATCAGCATAACAAATGACAGTGTCTTCATTATTAGTTGGAAGATCTTTAATAAGTTTATGCATCAGAACGTTGAACAACAAGGGGCTGAGTACCCCTCCTTGTGGAGTTCCCAGTTCAAAGTGTTTGCTCTCTGTGCTTTTAACACCATTAAACAAAACATGCTGTTCGATTAGACAAATAGCCCTGTATCCATTTCAGTAATTTTCCTTGTATTCCCAGCTCAGCAAGCGGTTCCAGTATTATTTCTCTGTTTGCTGTATGAAAAGCTGCTGCTAGGTCGATGAAGACTGCTTGAGGGGAAGCTTCAATATGTGCTAAGTACTCGGCAAAACAGTGTTGTGTACTGAGCCCAGGCATAAATCCAAACAGTTGGGGTGACAGGTGCCCCTGTATACGATACATGAGTCTGTTAAGAACAATATGTTCAAGCACTTTACAAACACACGATGTTAGAGATATGGGTCTATAATTATCTGAGTGTGGTTTGGGGATGGGAACAATGACACTCTTTGTCCAAGCATCAGGTAATACTCCTTCACGTAAACTCATTCTGTACAACACTAATAGTGGATTACCTGGTACGTGTGAGACTAATCTCGGTAGATTGTAAGTGCAGTAATACCGTCCTCTCCAGCAGTTGATTTTCCCATCTTTAGTGCATGATTTAATTCCCATTCAGTTACATCATTAAGGTCCAACACGTCGATAGCTGTACAGGCAAGATTGATGGTTCGTTGTCTGTTGGGGCGTGTGTCATTAAGTTTGTGCTGTATGTTAATTGGGATGAGCTGTAGCTTGATGTTAGTGCCCATTGATCAAGGAGAATGTTTGCTTGTTCTAGTGGGCTGTGGCGCAGTGGTTTGGTTGGGCTGCTTCTAGAGATTTTTCGTATCTTTTCCCAAACTTCAACAAGTGTTGTTTGCTCATTTATACTTTGTAGGAACTCTTTCCAATGTTTATTACGTATAACGTTGCTCATGTCTCTCGCCACTATATTGGCAACTAGAAATGCATGCAAGTCACCTTGTGCTTTGGTTCGTTTGTACGTATCTCCAAGTTGCTTTACTCGTTCATGTTCTGCCAACAAGTGGCATCACCACCAGGAGCTCCAGACCTCAAGGCCATCTTTGCTCAGTCTGGAACTGAAGGACCATAAACCAGCATCCCTAGTAGGGGGGTAAAGGAATCAGGGAGCCACCAAGGCCCTACAGGAAAGAGTTGCTTCATTACATTCAGCACCAGTTTTCAGGAGGGTACCTTGCAATGATTTCAAGACTTAGCATCCCCGTGGCCCGGTCCTCGACCAGGCCTCCTGGTTGCTGGACTGGTCAACCAGGCTGTTGGACACAGCTGCGAGCAGCCTGATGTATGAATCACAGCCTGGTTGATGAGGTATCCTTTGGAGGTGTTTATCAAGTTCTCTCTCTTGAACACTGTGAGGGGTTGTCCAGTTATGCCCCTTGTGTGTAGTGGAAGCACGTTGATCAGTCTCAGGCCTCTGATGTTGATACTTTAGTTCTAAACTCTATCAACTATAATCTGGTACAATCAGATTAACGCTTCGAGATTAATTTCAAGAGGTTTTCGGCATTCCACATCTTACAGTTCCTACTCAAGGACCAGGACCTCCCTTCCTTGATGGACCCAGCCTCTCTTGAATTTGGGTTGACTTTGACATTTTTTATTGCGATACGAGGTACCCGATTCTATCTGGTACAACCTATTATTTTCCTTGGGGACTTTGCACAACTTTTGTTGTTACCCAAACACTCCAGTGACACCAAGGGTGCTTTGTCTTTCAGCTTTCTCTGGGTGGTGCCTCATTTGCACCATCGGAGGCTTGTCTGTTTGCTCCTCATGCTACCCTGGGATGCGTGCATATTGCAACTCCACATGCAGCTGCCTTTGCATTCTGGAGCCCAGGCTGCAGAGGATCATAGGGCCCATGTTCACTCATCAAGCAGAAATGCTTGATGAATCCTGGCACATAACAAACATCACTTTCCTTTCTTTTTATGTTTGGGGAATGGGTGTTAACGAATAAATTAATTTAGAGAGTAACAACTAAACATTTTTTTTAACAAGATAAAAAAAATAAACTTCATGTAAGAAAAAATCTAGAAAGAGCCATCCATATAAGAAGTGGTTCGTAAGTCTGGATGACATGTTCAAATGTATGACTTCTGTTATAAAGTACTGTATTATCACTTTCTTTGTAAATAGTGTACTGAAACTTTGTGTAAACTAGCATATTTAGTTCAATAATTTATGAATAAAGGTTTTGATCTGATTAGATTTGTATACAAATGCTATTAATATTTTGTTCGTACTTGTTCAAAGTTTATTAGTGCTGGCTAGTAGATGCTACGAGCATCTCACATTCCTCTAATTTTTTATACAGTACACTATATGACTAACCATCCTTTGAGATGGGGACATTACATGTACTTATAGCTAGTAGTACTTGATATATATTCTATATTGTATAGAATAATAGCATAGAATAGTAGCATATTACTGTATACATATCCTTGTAAATAAATAAAAAATGTACTTACTGTATTCTATGTTAAGAGGCAAAAAAAATTAACTTTAAAACAATAAAATACAGTGCAATATAAAGTTTATCAAATACCTTAGAGTTCTCATCCTCGTTAATTCTGTAGTGGTAGACACGGCCATTATATCTCAAAGAAATCGATCTCTGTCCCGGCGAACTTTCAGACTCCCGAACAAGAAAGGAGCCGTTGATGCCAGAGGATAAGAGATACTCGGCAGTGTTTCGAGATATGGGACCATGGTACCAGGAATGTTTCTCCAGGGAGTTGACAGGAGTGATGTAGTTGGACGGGACCCAGCCCACTTCCCCAGATCCTGCGTGGGCTTCACACCATTCACCAGACTTGTTGTAGCTCAGGACACGAACCTGTTCACCTGCAAGGCACACCAACCATTACCTTTCAGCAAAGATCTATGCCATCTTTTGTGCATGCTCTTATGATAAATTCATTATAAATAAATACAAATAAATTATTAAGTAATGGTAATGTCTTCTCACAGACATAACAACATAGGATAAAACCCCGTTCATGTATTTGTGGGTGTAAATCTCTACATAAATTTCACAAATACATTTGTGGGGTGGAGGGTAAAGAGGATGGAGAGGCACAGGTGAAGGGAAAGTTTAGAAATGGTAAATACAATGCGAGTTGATAGCAGGCGGGCAGTGTGCCTTGCTGAGATGATGTATTCACCAAGTTGTGTTTGCGAAGATTGAGCTCTGGCTCTTTTGGCCCGCCTCTCGACTGTCAATCAATCAACTTTTTTTTTTTTATTCCACCCCCCCCCCTAGGAAGCAGCCCGTAGTAGCTGTATCTCCCAGGTACCTATTTACTGCTAGGTAACAGGGCCATCAGGGTGAAAGAAACCCTGCCCATTTGTTTCCACCATTCCCGGGGATCGATTCCCAGACCCGCGATTACGAGTCTTGAGCACTGTCCACTCGGCTGTCAGGCCCCAATGTGTGGATGTTGGCAGCTAAGCTAAGCGTGCTCTCTCTTGTCAGGGAGCTGTGAGTTAGTGAGAGGTTCTTTACGTGTATTTTGGTATAAATGGATCTCTAAAGATGAATACTGTGTAGCATTCTTATATACACACACTCTTATGTTTTTTACAAATGTTTGATGTTCTCGTTAAGACTCTTATTATTATTTATTTATATATTTTTATTTATATCAAAAGAATAGGGGTGGTAGGAGAAGAAAATATCAAAGTGTTCAGTGAGGATCCACAAGGTCTACTCTGAGTACTCTCTATTTTCTACTCCGAGGCTATGGGTCCCTACACTTGCACCAGAGGTGGTACCCCTTCTAGGTTTTTTATTTATATATTTTTATTTAGTTATTTATTTAAACAAATACATAAGTGTGAGTTTTTCACCAATAATTATTATTATTTATAGGGTTACCACCACTGTTCGTGTAATAACAGCCTGGTTGTAAAAGCCTAGTTGACCAGACCACCAACCAGGAGGCCTTGCCCGAGACTGGGCTGCAGGAACATTGATCCCTGGAGCATACCTGGAGAGGAGGAATTGTTTCAGATTTAGCTACTCAGAACGAAGTGTCCATGTAGCACGGGCTATGGTGAGCCCGTAAGAAATAGTATCTGGAGAGGGCTCTGGAAGTTCTTCTACTCCCCATATGCCTGGCCCGAGACCAGGCTCGACTTGTGATAACTTGGTCCAACAGGCTGTTGCTTGGAGCGACCCACAGGCCCACATATCCACCACAGTGTGGTTGGTCTGGCACTACCTGGGCTTGGATACCCATGTGCTTGAGAAATATGCTTACAAGTTCCAGAAGATGAGAGGAAATGTCAGCACTGTGGAGAAATGCCCGACAGACCACTGCAACATTACCTAACACAGTGCACGGTTACAAACCCATTAAGATAAAAAAAAAATTCTTGCAAGAACTTGTCTAAGTGCCTCTGGAATACATCCACTTTTGTTCCAGCAATATTTATAATGTTTGCTGGGAGGGTGTTAAACAGCTGTGGACCTCTCATGTTCAGACAGTGTTCTCTGATTGTGCCTATGGCACCTCTACTCCTCACTGGTTCTATTCTGCATTTCCTTCCGTGCCTTTTGCTCTAGTATGTTATTCTACTGTACAAATTTGGGACCTGGCCCTCCAGTATCTTCTACGTATATATTATTTTATATCTTTCTCGTCTCCTTTCTAGAGAGTATATTTTGAGAGCTTTGAGACGATCTCAATAATTTAGATGTTTTATCGTGTCTATGCATGCCGTATATGTTCTCTGTATTCCCTCTAATTCAGAGATCTCTCTCGCTCTGAAAGGTGAAGCGAGTACCGAGCAGTACTCAAGACAGGGCAGCACCAGTGATGTAAATAGTATTACCATTGATGTGGGATCTCTGGATGTGAACGTTCTCATAATCCATCCTATCATTATCCTGGCCGCCGCCGCAGCTATATTTGCTCGGTTATGTTCACTAAAAGCCAGGTCATCCGACATCATAATTCCCAAATCTTTTACATGTTGCTTTCCTGCCCCCCCATCCCCCCTCCAGAACAACACATTGTAGGAGGAACTTGACACGCCTAAGAAATTTCCTGTTTCCCCGATAAGTGGGGAAATAAACTACTTTTGTGTTGGATTGAAGTGGGTGTTGTGGCGTAATACAAGTAGGCTGGGGGTGTGGGAAGGTTGTCAGAGACAGGGAGAAGGTGGTGGTGTACATTACAGGGCTTTGACAGGCTTCGGCCTTGCTAAGGGTGTGCCAGGGGTGGTGGGGTGTGGCCCTCTTCAAGTCTTCTACCTAGGCCAGTTGTCACTGCTACCGTCACTTGTCACCGCTGTCACTGCTACCGTCACTTGTCACCGTTGTCACTGCTACCGTCACTTGTCACCGCTGTCACTGCTACCGTCACTTGTTCTCAGTATTTGTTTGAACATTTATACACTTTTCTCAATATATATATGTCTTGAGCAGTGGACCGTCTTAGACCTTTTGTGTTTTTCAGCATTGTCAAAATCTTCCTCTAATAAAATTCCCTCCGTTACCCTCCATTTAAAATTAAACTGGAATAGCAAAACTAAAATTCCTTAGCGAGACATGGACCGGGATTCATCAAGCCTTTATCCAGTCACGTACGAAACATCTACATCTTTCCTCAATCTTTGGCGGCTTTGTTTACATATATTAAACAGGTTATGAGCTCCGAGGCGCTATGAGGTCGTTTAAAACAATAATAATCTTAGATTGTGTACACACACAGAGATCACACTAACGTGATGCACCAATTTCAACCCTTTTTACCCTGTCGTAGCTCAGTCGATTAAGGCAGTGACTGGGATGCTCCCGGACGCAGGTTCGAATCCTCGTCACGGCCCTTGTGGATTTGTTCATTAGGTTGTGAAGTTTCCAAGCTGGTAAACTGTTTACTAAATGTACAAGTCATGAGGAAACTTGAGGAAAGGTCAGGTTATGAAGACTTAGAAGACTAGTATTAACCTCGAGGGCTTCCTTGGGCCGATACTGTTTCACTCAACACCAGAGGAAATACGAGAATGCAGGCAAGAATATTCACCTTTCCTGTCGTTGAACTCGTTGAACACACACACACACACACACACACACACACACACACACACACACACACACACACACACACACACACACACACAGTACAGCATAAGAGGCACAGTACAGCACAGTAGCCTTTGACACAGTACCGCATAAGAGGCTGGTCCATAAGCTGGAGAGACAGGCAGGTGTAGCTGGTAGGGTGCTCCAGTGGATAAGGGAGTACCTAAGCAATAAGAAGCAGAGAGTTACGGTGAGGTACGGTACGGTACCATACCTGATCAACCAGGCTGTGACTATACCTGATCAACCAGGCTATGACTCATACGTCAGGCTGCGAGCAGCCGCGTCTAAACAGCCTGGTTGATCAGTCCAGCAACCAGGAGGCCTGGTCGACGACCGGGCCGCGGGGACATTAAGCCCCGGAAGCACCTCAAGGTAACCTCAAGGTAACGAGGGGTGAGACCTCCGATTGGCGTGAAGTCACCAGTGGAGTCCCACAGGGCTCTGTACTCGGTCCTATCTTGTTCCTGACATAAGTAAATGATCTCCCGGAGGGTATAGACTCATTCCTCTCAATGTTTGCTGACGATACTAAAATTATGAGAAGGATTAAGACAGAAGAGGACTGTTTGAGGCTTCAAGAAGACCTGGACAAGCTGAAGGAATGGTCCAACAAATGGTTGTTAGAGTTTAACTCAATCAAATGTAATGTAATGAAGATAGGTGTAGGAAGCAGGAGACCAGATACAAGGTATCATTTGGGAGATGAAATTCGGGTTGATATCACGCCAGACCTGTCTCCTGCAGCACATATCAAGAGGATAACATCAGCGGCATATGCCAGGCTGGCCAACATACGAATGGCATTCAATTAAATCCGCCAACAAAAAATTCCAATTTGCCCCCCCCCCAAAATAAAATCCAAATCTGCCCCCCAAAAAATTCAAATCCACCAACAAAAATCCAAATTTGCACCAAAAAAATACCCCCCTCCACCGAATCCAAATGGCCAACCCCTGGGGAGGGGAGCGTGTGGGTGGGTGGGGGAGGGGGGGGGAAGTTACCAGCGAGGAGGAGGAAGCCATCACTCATCTAATAAATACAACGTACAGTTCTACTTGCCTGGGGGCGAGGGGTAGCTCAAGCACCCACCACCGCTCCCGCTGGATGACATTCATCAAGCATTTACCCAACCACTTACGAAACTACTACAGCTTTCCTCAGTCATTTTACCTAGTTTTATATTTATTAGTAAACAGTTGATGCTCTCCGCAGCACTACCAGCTTGCCTTTAACAATAATAACCTTTAGTGTACAAATGAATCATAATAACGTGATGTATGAATTAGACAATCAGGAGCCACAATGAGGTGGTTTAGGGCGTAGGGGCCAGGAGGAACTAACCTTAACCATAGTTGGCAGCCCTAGAAGCTCGGTCTAACCACTTGACACCACCTAGATCTATCTTGAGGTAATCTTGAGATGATTTCGGGGCTTTTTTAGTGTCCCCGCGGCCCGGTCCTCGACCAGGCCTCCACCCCCAGGAAGCAGCCCGTGACAGCTGACTATAACCCAGGTACCTATTTTACTGCTAGGTAACAGGGGCATAGGGTGAAAGAAACTCTGCCCATTGTTTCTCGCCGGCGCCTGGGATCGAACCCAGGACCACAGGATCACAAGTCCCGCGTGCTGTCCGCTCGGCCGACCGGCTCCCTTAGATCGTTAAATCCATTATGTGTAATCATGGAAAATATGTTGACGGTTACATATATGATGGTAATGAGCATGGACATGGCGCTAGCCCCGGCTAAACGGG